GCAACCAAGGTACATGCCCTTGACCAGAATCGAACCTGGGACCCTTCAGTCTGCAGGCCAACGCTCTAACCACTGAGCCAAACCGGTTAGGGCCGTACTTATATTCTTAACAGCACTATTCACTATAGCCAAGAGGTGGAAGCAACCCAAGTGTTCATCAATGAATGAATAAACCAAATGTGGTTATAGGTACAGTAGAATATTATTCAACCTTAAAAAAAAAAGGAAGAAAATCGTGTTACATGCTATAATATGGGTGAACCTTGAGGACATTATGTTAAATGAAATAGCCAGTCACAAAAAGTAACCGTATGATTCTAGTTATATGAGATATCTAAAATAGTCACACTTGTAGGAACAGGAAGTTGGATAGTAATGCCTAGGGGTTCAGAGGAGGGGGGAAAAGGGAGTTGTTGTTTAATGGCGTAATGGTTAATTTGACCTGTCACTTTCCCCAGAAATTTGGTCAAGCATTAATCTGGGTGTGTTTGTGAGGGTGATTTGGGGTGACATTAACATCTGAATAGATAGACTGAGTAAAGCAGATTCCCTAGTGTGGGTGGGCCTCATTAAATCAGTGGAAGGCCTGAATAGAACTCCTGCCTGTATGCTCTGAGCTGGATTATCAACCTTCTTAACAAATTGGAATTTCAATGGTACTCTGAAGGTCATACACTGACTGGGACAAATACCACACCAGTGTATAGTGGGTTGTTCTTTCCAACCCCATCTTACCTTGGAGTAAATTGATTTCCCTGCTATCTCCATCGCTGAATATTCCCATGCTCTGTGCCTTTTGCCCACCCAGGGCTTTATCTGTGAGATACAGCAGGCTCTCCAAGGTCATGCCACTGTGTTCGTACACCACAGAAATGACACCTGCCTTAACACTGTCCACCACCATCTAGAAAATAAAACCGAAGCTGTAGGAACTAAAGCCCATTACTTTAGACTATCGCTGATGAAAGGAATTTAATGAATTTGTAATCTGTGATTTGTAAAGACTTTTTTTCAGAAATTATGGAAAGAGAACTATAAGCTTTCTCCTTCACTGGAATTTTAAAAAATTATTTCTTTTCTAATTATAAGAGGAGAAAATTATATACATTTGTAGCTCCAGCACTCAGAGATAAATTCTATTAAGTTATTTTCTTCCACTCAGACACAGAGACATATATACAACTTTTAAAAAATAATAAAATTGAGATCATTCAATTTTGCAACAGACCTCTTAGGTTTTGTTTTCTTCTAAGTTATGAATTTTTAAAAAATAGAGAGAGAGGAAGGGAGAGGGATAGAGAGATAGAAACATCGATGAGTGAGAATTATTGATCAGCTGCTCCTGCAAGCCCCCTACTGGGGATCAAGCAGGTAACCTGGGCATGTGCCCTGACCAGGTATCGAATGGTGACCTCTTTGTTCCTAGGTCAACGCTCAACCACTGGGCCACACTGGCCAGGCTGAATTTTTGAATTATAAATATTTTCTATTTAAATAAAAATTTAAAACACTGTTCCTTGAATTCAACAAACGAATAAACTTTTCATTGTGATTAAGTTTTATTAGGAGCAGACAGGTCAAAAAGTCATTGAAGTCATTGATTTTTCTTTCTCAAACCTCATGCCACTTTCTGGAGGTCACAGTTCAACAGAATAGAGAATTACCACATGGTTAGACCCTATTTTTTACCTAACCCCCCTTTATATTGATAATCAAATAAGTAATTATGACAGTCTTTTATAGAGAAGACAAATAGGAGGATGGACTTACTTCATACCTGCTTATTCACCCAGACCCTGTCACCAATTATCCTCTGCACACACAGCATGATGCACTTCTAAACAATTAGGGAAACTATCTGTGGCCCATGTGGAGATCAAAACTCTGACCTTGCTTCCATGTGGACATGCTAAGTAAGCCACTGTGAATGACCAAGGTCAACTCCTCGATGCCCAGAGATAGATGTGATTTCATATCTTGAAAACAAACATTTTGTTGTAAATAGAAATTTTATTGGAAAACTTTAAGTAGGCCAATGGATATAATCTACTAAATGTTATCACTTACATATGTCCTGTGTGTGTATTAATGTATATGTATACTTCCTTTATTTGTCTTATTCATATTAAAATCAAAATATGTAACTTCATTATAGAAAGAGCATATTTAATTTAATGACACCCTCATTAAATAGATTGCAAAATAGGATTTCTGATATTATTTTTTTTGAGAGATGGTGGGTACATATTATTAAATTCCTTGGTATTCCAAAGAAGTTTTAAAATAATCTGTAATAACCTTGCTCTTTTGTGGTTTAAGTGCAACAAATTCAATTCAATAAGAATTTATTGGATACCTACTAATACAAGGCAGGTTAGGCCTTTTAAAAAAATAATTTTAATTTATGGTTATCTTTACTGCTTCTCATTTTTAAAACTGTTTTGGGCCTGTAAATTTCCACTTAGATCAGACCAATTTTCTTTTAGATGAATCATTTTCACACACATGGTGGCCAAAAGATTGCCATACAATTTCTAATGTCAGTGAAAAAACTTGATTCCGGAAAGGCCTGGCCTTCTAGCCCTATACCTCATGCGCAGGAATCCGAGATGATATTAATATGAAGTGTGTCTGGAAAGCATGCGAAGGGCTGTCATCATTTTTTAAAACTCCACGCCAATTTTTCTTCGATAATGAAGGGTAGGAATGTCTTCCAAAAACATTACTTCTGTAGGGGGGAAGGGGAAATAAGTGAAGTTCTCATTTTCTCTCTCTTTAAAAAAAATTTTTTTTAATGTTTATTGATTTCTAGAGAGAGGAAGGGAAAGAAAGAAACATTGCATGCACCCTGTCTGGGGTTGAATCGGCAACCCTAGGTATGTGCCCCGCCGGGGAATCGAACCTGCCATCCCTTGGTGTGGGAATGATGCTCCAACCAACTACGCCACCCTGGCCAGGGCTCATGTTCTCTTAATTTGATTTTGATCATATGTTCTCTGTGGTCATCAGTTATATTGTATACAAGGCAAGTGGCCTCAGCACTTCCGTTTCTCCCTGTAGTTTGGGGACAAAAGCAAGTGGGTCTCCTGGGCAGGTTGGAGCCAAAGCTGCTCTCTAGGCCTCCCTCCCTCCATCTGTGGGATGCCAGAAAGTTCTCTTGCAGCTTAGCTTTCGTGGGGCTCTGAACATGAAGGTAGTGGCTTACTTAGGGGTTCAAGATGACATTTTGAAAAGGGGCAGCAGGGAGATTTTATATTTCCTCGATCACCCAGGCCTCACGGTTTTCCGAGTGACGTCTCCATTCTCTCCAGTCACTCCCACCCCCACGTTACCACTGGGTATTGCTTAAGCCCTAAACACACTTCTGCAAAAAAGGATGTTTTTGCTCAATAACTTTATATGGAAAATATACTATATCTACCATACAGCCTTTTTATAGAAAGCTTGCTAAAGACCATCGTTATATATTACTCTCTTCAGAAAGCATGCTAAAGACCACTGTTACCCTAGCTGATTTGGCTCAGTGAATAGAGTGTCGGCCCTCGGACTGAATGGTCCTGGGTTCAAATCCACTCAAAGGCATGTACCTAAGTTGCAGGCTCGATCCCCGGCCCCCATCAGGGCGTGTGCTGGAGGCAACCAATTGCTGTGTTTCTCTAGTATCAATGTTTCTCTCTGTCTCTCCCCCTCCCTTCCACTCTCTAAAAATCAATGGAAAAATATCCTGAGGTGAGGATTAACAACAACAAAAAAAAGACAACTGTTCTTGCTATATCAAAGGTTAAGAGCCATATAATGGCGAGAGATCCTGCATGTTAGCTAGATTATTCTAGAACTGGTATCAGGGGATGGTCCTGAGCCTTCAGTAGATGGAGGTTTGCTTACCGCTTGGGCAAATCTTCTAAGGAAGCCAAAACAAGCTGTTTCTCCAAAGCTTCATGTAATCCCACTCGGTCCCTCGCAGTCTGGGGGAGACGTGGTTGGCATCGGGATTTGAACAATCTAGAGCAGCGTGTTCCGCTCACCCAGGGGGGTCGGGCTCGGAATAACTCCTCTGAAAAACAAACAGCAGCCGGCTTGGCTGTTGACTGCACGCTTCTCGCAGCCAAGGCTCCATAGATAAAGGCATCAGAAATAAAGCTGTCCCAGGGCAGTATTCCAAACGGCAATCATTATAGCCACTGTCATGGACTCTGTTTGGATTTCTTATCCTGTCAGCACTGTGGCTGCAAGTTCCCAGTCATTTGAGGTCAAGAAACAAAGCTCAGAGAACAAGCAACTCTTTTCTTGTGGAAGCCAGTTAATTTATAGGCTTCCCATCCATTTCTGTCCTTCTTCTGGGCTTCAAGTAATTTCCCGTTTGTTACAATCTCACAGAGGGCGATTCAGTAAAAAGACAAAAAGAAAACGGGAGAACTCGAGTCAGCTTTGTCAATTAACTTTACACACAAATCAGAAGGCTTAGCTGAACGTGTGTCTTGTCCCAGCTCCCTTTCCACAAAAAAAAAAAAAAAAAAAAAAAAAAAAAGCCATTCTTCCTATTTTCATTCCCTTTCATTTCTCCTCCCTTTTCACCAATCCCAATTCTTCTGCACTGTTCTGAACCTATTTATTTGCTTTTGCCTGTGTTTGTACTTCTCTCTTCTCCTTATCTTTGGTCTTATAAGTAAAAGAAAAACTAGGACAGCAATGGAGGTGCTGACAATTGACCTTATATAATTCATCTGAAATCCCTTTTGCTTATCCATTATCTTGAAATAGACAGTGAAGAAAAAAGAGCTTGTTCTGAACATACTTCAGAGGATGCCATCCACATGCTGTTCCTCTGGGAAGTTGTATGTAAATCCATTGGTTTCTACAACACTTGGTTAGGATGTGAAGTTTTTAAATGCTACTCACTCTTACGCAGTGCAATTTCCCCCCAAATTATTTTCCGTAGGCACTTTTCTCTGTGTCTCTCCTGTAGCTCCTCGTCGTCTGTTTTGGGTTCATTCAGGGTCCCATAGACAGCAGCGGCTTCCCTAGGTGTCAGCCAGTCTAAGTTGCACACACACGCGATGTAATGGTGCTTCCAAGCCCCGTACTCATGATCTGTGGGCGTATAGGGCAGAAACCATCCCAGCTTGATGCATTTGGGCATCCATATGCAGTCCTTCGGAGAAAGATGAGTTGTGAGTTTTTTAAAGGTCAGTTTCCTAGTTATAATGCTTTCAGGTACACAAATAATATTTTTTAATACTTTCTGATTTCTAGTGCAGTTGATTTGCCATCTAATCTTGATGCCGAGAAATAAGAAACATTCATTTCTCCATAGCAAAACTACCCTTTGATTATGTATGAATATATGTATTAGTCATCTCGGTCTACACATCTAGTGCCCCATAGCATTTGGTTACTTTAACCCAAGATTCTGGGACTTCTGCTTCTAGCAATGATGTAGTTGTTTGTTTCAGACCAATCCTCCCACAGAGAACAACTTTGATTGAACCATATGATATTGCCAATATGCAACCAGTTTTGATATATGAAAACAGCGGATTTCGTGCAGGTGAATCTAAATAAATATCTTGACAAAATATTATACAACGGTTATTTGAAGTCATTGTAGAGCTACCAGGGCAATAAGGACTGTGCAGCCCCGACACAGGGAGCAGGAAATCCAGAGAAGCCTGATCCGGGGCATCACTCTCACAGCAGGGAGTCGGACAGCTCCAAAATGAAGTTCAGGCTGACAAGCTGAGCAGAAAGCCACGAGTGAAAGACTTAGAAGCTGTGAAGACTTCTAGGCATTCTCACAGGGAGGAGAGGAAACAAATTTAAGTTTAGGGCCCACTAAGGGGAGGAACCCTGGTAACCACACCAGGCTTTCAGTTGAGATTCTTTTCAGCAAGGACGATGAGGAATTGGGAAAACTATCACCAGGACTGAAGCTAGCTTTGAAAAAGCTCATTCTCTGATTGGGTTTCAGGGATCTATTCCTAACCAAACCAAATGCCAGAGCCAAAAGCAAATTCTTTCTGGAGGAAGATAACATCATCCAGAGACTCAAATGATCACATTAACTACTTATACTCAGTATGTGGTATTCAATCAAAAATAGCAAGCCACCAAAAAGACAATTGTTCATTTCTTCTTTTGTCTTTGAGTAAATAGAAAGAGACCCTCAGGAGATCCAGATGTTGTAATTATCAGATATAAACTTTAAAAAAAAAAATAACCTATACTTAATATGTCTAAGAAATGAAATGGCTAGGTGGAAAATTTTGGCAAGATAATCAAATCAACATTCTAGAATTGAAAAATATAACTAAAATTTAGAACTCGATGGACCAGTTTAAGAGCAAATTAGAATCCAGTTTAAGAGGTAATTAGTCAACTAAATGACAGGCCAGAAGAAAAGTCCAGACTGAAACAATGACAGCCAAACAGAAGGAAAAGACATATGAGAAAATGTGAAACTTATGGGATATGGTGAGTCAGTCTAAGATAAGTATTGGAATCCCACAAGGAAAAGAGAGAAAATTGGGCAGAAGCAATATCTAAAGAGATAGCATCTGAGAACTTTGCAAAATGGATAAAGGACATTAAATCTCAGATTCAAAAATCACTGCAAAACACAAAACAGGATAAATGTACAAACACACACACATGCACACATACACAAACTCTAGGTACATTATGATAAAATTACACAAAACAAAAGAGAGAAAAAAACATATAGCAGCTAGAGAAAATAGAAATATTACCTTTAAAGGAACAACTATAAAACTTCTTACTCCTCAAAAAATAGTTGTAGAAGCCAGAGAACAATGGAAAAATATCAAATACTATAAACAATTAACTGCCAACCTAGAGTTCAAATTTCCAGTGACACTAGCCTTTAGTTATGAAGGTGAAAAGAGACATTTTAAAATAAAAACTAAAAGAATTTGTCATCAGCATGTTGCATGAAATGAAATATTAAAGAAAATTCAGAAGGAAAATGATCCCAAATGGAAACTCAGAGATGTAGGAAGGTATGAAGAGCAACAACAAAAAAAGTAAATATGTTGTTACTTATAAATATTGACTATATAAAAAATATATATTGACTATATAAAATAATAGTACTAAGGGGGTTAGGGGTTGGTGAAAAAGGTTAAGGGATTAAGAAGTACAAATTGGTAGTTACAGAATAGACAGAGATATAAATTACAGTATAAGGAATATAGTCAATAATAACTATGCATGGTGCCAGGTGGATACTAGAATTACAGGGGGGCCACTCTGTAAAGTGCATGATTGTCTAACCACTATGCTATACACCTGTAACTGATACTGAATAATATTGAATGTAACTGTAATTGAAAAATAATAATTAAAAAATAATTGTAATAAAGTCATGTGAGGTTAACATATATATTTAAGTGTTTGTATCTTTTACATATGTTGGCTGTTTGGCTGATGGCTGTTTGCAGCCTGGCCACAGCCACTTCAGGGTGGGGGTCCCCCCTGGGGTGCCTGGCCAGCCTGGGTGAGGGGCTGATGGCTGTTTGCAGGCTGGCCACAGCCCCTTCAGGGTGGGGGTCCCCCCTGGGGTGCCTGGCCAGCCTGGGTGAGGGGCTGAGGGCCGTTTTCAGGCTGGCCACACCCCCTTCAGGGTGGGAGCATCCTGCTGGGGTGCCTGGCCAGTATGGGTGAGTGGCTGATGGCAGTTTGCAGGCTGGCCACAACCCCCAGCCATCCAAGCTCCCAGTGGAGGCTGGCTGGAAGCAGGTATCTGGGATTTACTTGTCTTCTATAATTGAAACTTTATTGCCATGAGCGGAGGCCACAGCTGGCTCATGGCAGGCGGGAAGCTTGGCTTCCTCCATCACCCAGGCAACCAAGCCTCCTGCTTGCTCCAGCTCCGTGGCTGCAGGCCGCCATCTTGGCTGGGTAAATTTGTATATAGTCACTCTGATTGGCTGGTGGGTGTGGCTTAGGGCATAGCGAAGGTATGGTCAATTAGCATCTTTGTCTTTTATTAGTGTAGATTATAGATGGCATTAGAATATCTGACAACAAAAGCATAGAAACCAAGGGGGACGAGAGGGATGGAGTTAAAGGATTCTAAGCTCTTTGCCTTATCTCATAAGTGGTGAAATAATCCTAGCATGCACGCTGTAATCACTAGGGTAGCCATGAAAGAACTTCTGAAGAATTCATAATTAACAATAAAAATAAATAAATATTTAAGTACTCCAAAAGAAGACAAGGAGAAAAATGAAATACAAAACACATGGAACAAACAAAAAATAAATAGTAAAATGGTAGAGTTGGGCCTAAATATATCAGTATTTACATAAATATAAACAGACCAAATTATCCCAGCTAAAAGTCAAAGACTGCTAAATGTTAAAAAACAACCACCACCACCATATTCTGTTTATACGACATATTTTTTTAAACATAAGGACATAGAAAGGTTGAAAATAGAAAGAGAACAATGTACCATGCAAACACTAAGCCTGGACTTTTTTGTAGCAATAAATCCAGGGCTCACAGTTGGCTCTTGCATGTGGCCCCATCACAGACAGTGAGGTGTCCTCTGGGATCAGAATCTCGCATAAGCCACCCTGGTACGTGTGTACAGGTTCAAGAAGTAAGTTATTGATTTGTTTTTAAAGTATGTCCCCATCACATTTTATTAAGCCTTTTAAAAAGAAATGAAGGGACAAATATGTCAGAGGCAGGCTTAACTTCTTTACAGATATTAGCCAAAGAGAGCTCAGTTGAAATTGTGAATTACCATGGATAAAATAATCCTATATAATAAAAGCCTAATATGCTAAGTGTCCGGTCGTTCAGTCAGCCACTCAACCAATCAAAGCATACTATGCTAATGATATGCTAAGGCCACTCAACCGCTCACTATGATGTGCACTGACCACCAGGGGGCAGATGCTCCAACTGGTAGATTAGCTTGCTGCTGGGGTCCAGCCGATCAGGACTGAGTGAGATGGGCCAGATATGCCCTGGAGCCCTCCTACAGTCTCTCCCTGGCTAGCCAACCTCTCGCATCCCTTGCCAGCCCTGAACGTGCACCAGTGGGGTCCCTTGGCCTGGCCTGCACCCTCTTGCAATCTGGGACCCCTCAGGGGATGTTGGAGAGCCGGTTTAAGCCCAATCCCGCAGGTCAGGCTGAGGGACCCCACTGATGCATGAATTCGTGCACTAGGCCTCTAGTCTATAATAATAAAACTGTAATATGCAAATTGACCAAGCAGCCAAATAGCAGAACGACCACCTGGACTGACCACGCTATGACACCCACTGGCGCCAGGCCAGCCAAGGCGGGTGTGATGCGATTGGTTGGGGGGCCCCGCCATCACCCCATCACCCCGTAGGGCCTCCCTCTTTGGGGCCCACTGTGGAACCCCACAATCGATCACCCCAAAGAGGGAGGCCCAGGCTACCTGGTGGGTGGCACTACGGCGGGTGGGCGGGGCCTCCCTTTGCAGGGAGATCAATCCCGAGGCTCCCGGACTGCAAGAGGGCGCAGGCTGGGCTAAGGGAGCACCCCCCCCCCTGCACGAATTTCATGCATCAGGCCTCTAGTCTATACTAATAAAAGGTTAATTTGCTAATTAGACCGGACATCTTCTGGACATCCTTCCAGACATCCTTCCGGCCAAAGCCACGGTGGCGAGGGCCGAGGCAGAGGCAGTTAGGGGCGACCAGGCTGGCAAGAGAGGGCAGTTAGGGGTGACCAGGCCAGCAGAGGAGGGCAGTTAGGGGCAACCAGGCAGACAGGCAGGTGAGTGGTTTGGAGCCAGTGGTCCCAGATTGTGAGAGGGATGTCATACAGCTGGTTTAGGCCGGATCCCTGTGGGATCAGGCCAAAACTGGCCATCGGACATTCCCTGAGGGGTCCTGGAATGGAAAGGGTTCAGGCCAGGCTGAGGGAGCCCCCCCTCCCCCCGCACAAATTTCGTGCATCAGGCCTCTAGTATTATATAAAAACCAAAGCTTAAATAATTTTAGGAAAGAATGGACATTTTTAGCCAAGGTAAAATATTTTCTAAATAATTGAGTACTTAAAAAATATTATAATTACATAAATTATTAGAATAATGTATATCTGTTACTTACAAAATAAAGTAATGTACTTATCCCTATTTTTTTCCTTAAGGATAAGTTAGGTATGGTTCAGATACCCCTGTTTATCTCTGGGAAGAAAGTTACCCCAGTAGCCTCATTACAGATGACTGTTGTATTTGAACTCTAGCTAGGAAGTAACAAGTAGTAAACCTGTTCAGTTAAAAACTTCCAGGACCAGCTGACTTGTGCAGCTGCACACAAATCTTTTGGACTCAGAAAGGAAAAGATGTAGAGAGAAATGAAGCGTGGTAACACTGTGGAGAAATCCACTTTGGACACTTTCATCCTTTCTGAAAACTGGTCATGGACAAACCTAAGAAGAAAGATACAGAAATTTAGTTCAGAACACTAATATCCATGAACTGTACAAAACAAAACATCTATTTAAATTGTTGAACTTATGAGTATAAAATTATTGAAACTTTTCTTATATTACCTTTTAATGTTTGTAGGATTTATAGCAATACCCCCTTTTTTAGTCCTGACATTGGATAATTTATGTTTTCTCTCTTTATTTCTTTGTTACTCAGTTTGTCAACTTTGTTACTTTCTTTTAAAAAACAGCTTTTGTTTTCGTAGATTTTTTAAATTGTCCATTTTCTATTTTATTTATTTTTACTATTCATTATTCTTTTCCTTTTACTTGCTTTGGGTAAAATTTTCTATTTTTTCTAATATTTTTTAATGTAATACTGTTTATTTAACTTCAAAAAATATTTCGGTATTCTAAGTATATAAAAGTAAAAAAAAAAATTTCAAATTGTGTTTAGTACAAAAGGTTCTTGAACTTTCATTGATACAGTGAGTCTTCCCTTTGCTGAAAATAAAGAATTGTACAGTTTAAGAACAGTTTAAAACTACCACACTTAACTAAAAAAGACCCAAACTCTCCTCACGCCAGCTGACTCCCCTTTTCCAGAGCTAAGAATAGCAGAGTGTTATGTCACTATGAACAAAAACAGGACAACCTGAAGCTAAATGGATGCCCACTGCAGTGTCCCTGGTCCACTCTTCACAGGCACCTTGCCCACAGCCTCGATGCCAAGCAAAAAGCACCAAGAGCTTGTCTCAGTTGTTTTGTTCTTTTTACAAACTATAGATATAGATAACTCAGAACTTCTAGCCAATAACCAAATAGTTAACAACATCTTACAGATTTAAAAAAAAAAAGAAAATGCCAGAAACATCTTTAAATGTCTTCTCACATCAACAGCAAAGTGCACAGAGTGAGGAGAACACGAGAGCCTTTTCATTTAAAAATGTTTGGAAATATGTACAACTTTGATATAGTTCGAACACCCACGGCCACTTCATGTAAACCACTGACAATTTCTAGGGCACTTTAAGAGACTACATATGATCATGATCCAATTGTGTAATTAATCCTAATGTGGGCAACAGACACCTCTCAAATAGAGCTGTGTCAGTTATGGCGCTCCCCTACTCTAAGGTATTCACAAGGAGACAGATACACAGCTTTTTAAAATTCTTCTTCTTCTTCTTCGTCCTCCTCTTCCTCCTCCTCCTCCTCCTCCTCCTCATTTCCCCACTTCCATGTTATTTTAAAATAACTCCAAGGCATCATATTTTATGTATAAACATTTCAGTGTGTATACTAAACAATGAGAACATTAAAAAATATATTATCTAATACTATCATCATACCTAAAGAAATTCAATAATTTCTTAATGTGACATCTATAAAGAAAACTTTTTTATATGACATCCATCAAGAAAACTTCTTATACTGCATTTCAAGCTGCCTCAGCACAGCTCTTGAATAAAGATAAAAATCTAAGGCCCAGCCGAAACCGGTTTGGTCCAGTGGATAGAGTGTTGGCCTGGGACTGAAGGGTCCCAGGTTCGATTCCGGTCAAGGGCATTCTTCTTCTTCTTCTTCGTCCTCCTCTTCCTCCTCCTCCTCCTCCTCTTCCTCCTCCTCCTCATTTCCCCACTTCCATGTTATTTTAAAATAACTCCAAGGCATCATATTTTATGTATAAACATTTCAGTGTGTATACTAAACAATGAGAACATTAAAAAATATATTATCTAATACTATCATCATACCTAAAGAAATTCAATAATTTCTTAATGTGACATCTATAAAGAAAACTTTTTTATATGACATCCATCAAGAAAACTTCTTACACTGCATTTCAAGCTGCCTCAGCACAGCTCTTGAATAAAGATAAAAATCTAAGGCCCTATTAAAGTGATCATCTTGGGGCTATAGAGGCCAAAGAGACATTCAACAGCCCATGAAAGATGCATTGCTGACCCTGCAGCCACCAACTATATAAAAACAAACAACAACAAAAATGACTGTCCTTTTTGGATATTAGCATAGACATCTGCTACAGTCCCAAGCTACCAGAGGGTGGTCATCTTGAATAAGAATCTCTTGAATAAGAAAGTTTGGGAGCAATCCAGGTACCAGTAAATCAAACTCTTCACTGGAACTTCTCATTGCCTCCAAACTTCATGGAATTACAGACATTTGTGACCAGTCTCACAGATGATTGGAAACTTTGACAATAAGAACCTACCAGAACTCATTTACCTCAGGCCATTGAGACTAGAACTTTTTCTCTCTGCGAAGGGGCTACTGCTGCCCTGTTACTGGGTCCTAATGGACAGATGAATTCACTGCAAGAAAAGTCATGATTCTGAACAGATCTCATTCTCCCGTGGGTCTTCTTTGACCTACATTCCCATAGAGTGGGTCAAGCCTCAGAAAGTTTCCCAGTGAAATGAAAATAGCACCTCCAGTTAGGGACAAAAAGACCTTAGCTACATTCATGAACAAGTTGCTGAACATCCACTAGACCCAGAGAGAGTCTTGACCAGGAATTTACCCAAACTGCTGGCTTAGCTAGAGCCTCATCTGCAAGTCGTGAGAGGAGGGCAAATTCTACCTTGCAACAGAACACCAGCTCACACATGTAGAGAAATTAGATTAGAAAAATCACCAATTGGTAGCTATCATAGTAATAAATGCTTCAGATAAGAATCACCAATGGATGCAGCAAACAAGTTTGATGAGAAACAAGATATTTGCATGGATTCAAAAATTTTTAATTCATTTCAAAGTAATCACTTCAATACTTTTTAGTTATTAATAAATTAGTACAAAATACTTCATAATTAGTCATCTTAACCAAGCAGTAAAGTCAACATCACGATCAATGGGACACATGGACATGGTTGGCCCCCGATGTGATCCACTGAGAACACAGCGTCGCTTCTGTGTTCTTCCTGCCCAGAATGTAATACCCTGGATGTGATCTTGAGGAAATGTCAGCCAACCACAAACTGAAGGTCATCCAACAAAGTAACACATCTGTGCTCTTCAAGTGTCAAGAAAAAACAAGGAAACACTGAGCAATTGAAAGTGGCTATAGAGACATAAAAATTAAATACAATCGGTGACTGTGGATTGGATTCTGGAATGAGAAGGAAAGGATGATTTGTAAGGGACATTGTTGGAAAAATCAGGAATATTGAATAGAGTCTGTGAGTTGGATGGTAGTGCTCAATAAATGCTGATTTACTGGTATTAGAGGATGTACTTGATTTTTCAGCCAACTGTCCTTGTTTTTTTAGGACTTACTGAAAGGCATAGGGTTAGTGGGGCAACATGTTTACAATCTACTCTCAAATGATTTGGAATAATATGGCAAAAAATGTTAACAATTGAGGAATCCAGATGGACAGTGTAAATAAATTATTTATAGTTTTTGCAACTTTTCTGTAAGTTAAAAGTTATTGCAAAACAAAAAGTACTTTTAAAAAAAAAAGAAAAGAGGCTGCCTGTTTTAGCTCCAAGGTTTAATGATTGCCTATTATTGTGTGTGTTTCTAATCCCCTGGCTCTATTTTAAGGCCCTGCTCTCTCTTGATTCCTGTCCATGCAGCTTTGTCACAACCTGAGACAAAACAAAGTGGCTTTAAAATGAACCTGTTGGCATGTCAGTCTGGGGAAAGCACGTGTGTGTGTGTGTGTGTGCATGTGTGTGTCTGTGTGCTCATGTGTGCATGTACAGTGGGGCCTTGACTTACGAGTTTAATTCATTCCGTGATGGAGCTCGTAACTCAAATTACTCGTATGTCAAATCAAAAAGTGAACGAGTGAGACACGTGATGCTGGGCTGATGTTGTGGCGTTC